GGAGTTTGTGTTGCTGAGAGATAAATGTTTTCTTCTTGGTTTGTTACATCGATATCTCTAAACTCTCATACCTTAAGAAACCCGATACACACATGATTTGTTTGTAGTATAAGTAGTACCATGCAGATATCAGCTTCTATCCAGCTGAACTATACATTATAGGTTTTTTCACCTCTTGTAATATTTGAACTGAGATTAAATGTCAGAATGTCTTCCAAGTAAGGTTTAAATTGGCCTCATATTCCTTGTTCAGTGATGTAATGATTAACTGTCTCACGTTCTTGTAATTATGATTTGCATATTTAAATCTTGCTCATGACTTCTCTGTTGGCTAAATGATTGAGTCTCCTGTAACCTCTTTCCTTTGTAGACTCCGTTCATGTAGGATCAAGCTAACCTGTTCAGTTACTGTTCTTATAATTAGTTTCCGACTACTGTTCTTTTTCCTGACTACTCTTGAGGATCACCCTCGCCCTTCATCCTTGGCTCCAGATCCTGACTCTCACTCCTGACCACTCTCACAAATCACTCTTGTATCTTTGCTCCCTCTCTCGCGTCTGACCTTGGCCACTGAGTATTCTTACAGATTGTCCCTGTTTTTCTCTACAACTCCAGAAGATGACCTCAGCTCACAAGTCACAACCATGCTATCAGTTCATCCTTGGAATGATTGCCTCATATACACAGAGTTTCTCTCAACTGTCCATCATTGTCTCCTTCATGTGACTCTGCATGATGCTATGACTTGTGTTTAAGGATATTGCTGGTCCAGATGTTAGTTTTGTAGAGTAGAAAGCAGACAAAATAACTACAACTTCCAGAAACCTTGTCCTTGGAACAAACTCAGCGGTGCTTTAGAAAGTTAATTGGAGCATGCTTGGTTGAGTCACATGCTGAATTAGTGACAGCTCATTGCAGTAGTTACAAATACTGAGATTTTGCATCAGCTGTTAGTATAATTTCCATTAGCTCATATAGTGGCTTTGCATGTATTTTAATACATTATCTATAAAATGAATTACAAATAATGGATCTACTTCAGCCTGAAGTGTTCCTTTAAATATAAACTCATTAATGTAAGAGTTCTATTTCAACTTGCAGGTGTGCTAATTAATTTACCTAGGGGGTTTTATACCTTAAAACTCAAACTGGCAATTTCTTATTTTTAGATTCAATGTTGCGTAATGCCCTTGTTCTATATGCTAAACAGGACCTCGTAATAATGGTTTTGCCGAAAGTAGCAGCAAGAATTAATTCAACTTAATAACACTAAATTAATTGTTGATTCATTTTATTCACTAATTAAGAATTGGGGAGAGCTGCTAAGGATGCTGTGAATTTGAAGCCAAAATAGACCTGGACAACGTGTTTACTCTTTTCATATAAGCCTAATTCTCCAATTTCCTTGTATTTGTTTTTCAATAATTCACTGTTTAAGAAATAAACCCAAAAATGAATTAAGTGAAAAGCATTTGAAAGTTTCACTGCTTAAATGTTTTTTCTTATTACTCATTTTCTAAAATATTCCTCAGTTTTTGTATAGCTAAGTAAAGTCTCGGCAGAACATCATTTGCTGTGCATTATGTTATGTTTGTATGGGTGTACAGATTTCAAATGTATTCACACAGCACAGTGTTTTGTGAGCATTTTCCTGACTCATACACACTGTTGCTCACTGTGGGATCAATTAAAAGGCTTGGTTTTATTGCCTGACATCTTCAGCATGAACTAGATAGGCAAGCACAATTCTTGCAGATTCTGTAATATGGTGTTCTATTATTCATCTTTTTTGAATTTTGCAACATATATATGTCATTATACATCTGTGTAATATATACAATACATACATACTTGCATACATACATATACATACATACATACATATACAAATGTAAACATGTGTTTGTCAACTGCAGTGCTGATCAAAACTTCTGGCAATAAATAAACAAATACATAAATACATTTTATTTAATTATTTTAAAATTCTTCCTATTGTTCTCACTATAATGAACACTACCCAACTTCATCCTAATACCATGGTCTTGCCATACTTGCAAGTGTCCCCAAGTCTCCATGGGGTAAGGTATAATAAAAACTGTTGGGGCCCTCAGAGACCACATGCCCCATCTCTTATCTCTTGGACCCTGAGCTAATTAAACATATATTCCGTATTGAAAAAAAAAAGTAGCTGCTCTCTCTTCTTCCTTCAACCGGTGCATGTCGGTGAGGTGTTGATCCATTGAGCAGATGGCTTGTGGTTTTTCACTCGCTGCGTATCTATTTTCATGGGCTGCAAGAGGGGATATATAATTATAGAATGGGTAGGGGATCCCCAATCGATTGGCCTATGAAGTACAAATCTGTAGTAGCCATCCTAATATTCTATTCAATGTCATTAATGTTGTTCTAGTCCCCTCCATCCATTTTGCTTTAATATAAATCAGTTTCCCTCCCCTTATATCCCTCATCCATCTAAATAAACATGTGCACACTTTTTCTAAAAAAATCCAACTAAAAATAAACTCATATTTTCACGGGTAAAGATTTATCGGATGATATCAAAAGGGCTAATTTTTCCAACAAGTGACTTAGACATTAATTAAAAAACTTAGACACAAGGATTAACTAAATGAACAGCCCCAAAGAAAACAGGTGCATATAACTTAGAGATGTAAAAAATGAATCCTGTATCCAAGCTATGGCGTCTGTGTTTTCTAACCTCTCGACTTATAGGATAGACAACTGTCTGATTGGATGTTTGAAACAGCCAATAGCATGGCTTCTTTCTCTATCACAAAGGCCCATAGACTCCAAAGCCTACTCTCCTGCCATCACGTTTTCTCCAATGTGAAGGCGTCAGGTTCTGAGCCCTATGTTTTCTATATGTAGCAGTGAGAGAGTGTTAATAAAAACTCAATGCTCATTTCAAGTGTGAGTCAGTCTGAGATATGGATGAATCATTTTCAGACAGCTGTAGACGTTCAGGGTGGTCTTTAAAATACTCCTGCGGTACCTTCTGCTATTCTGTATGAAATGCAATTATAGCAGTTTGCATATGTTTTAATCTTACATTATATCTTCCATGATTGCTTCCTTTGTCTCTCTCTTTTTTTAATCACAGAAATCTTCAGGTGTAAATCAATACGTTTTAGAAGTAATGCTTTGATACACAACAGCAACCCAAGGCTTGAACTATCTGAAAACAGCTTTAAAAATGCTGTCGTTCCTATATAATTATCCAAAGAGATTAAATAATGTTACAATGATAAGCATGAACATTTTGTTTTGTCTGTGAATATTATCACTTTTTTATGTTGCTGTTTTAAGAAAGTCAGTGTATTTCAGTTTGGAAGAAGAGAAATTTGGACTCACAGCAGATGTTCATTCTTAAAGAGACCATCGAGCAAAACACAGTTATCACATTTTCATTTAATGTTAGCGATTATTATTGCTGTCAAAAGAACAAGGTCACTTTCTCTTTAAATGAATGCTATAGTGATGTGTATCTAGGATATCTTAGGAGACTTAAAGGGTATCAGAGTTTTAAGAAATAGCTGGTTATGGTTAGAGTAACCTTTGCTGTGTTGGTCCCCCCAGTAAAAAACAAAACAAAATATAAACTTAAAACATTAACATAAACATAAACATCTATATAGCACTGAGCATCGAAGCTCTCCTTTCGGTCCAATCCTCCTCTGCTGACATCACACCCCCTAGCAGCTTGGGTAGGGATGCAAGAGAAGGAATGAGTGAGTGGAGCACATGGGTGTCTTAGAGAGGGGTACATCCCTTTCAACATTATCATAGGAGATGGGGAATCAATAAACAGGCAGGAGGTTTGTCATATATGTCTTTTACATAAATAACAGGGGTGTATTCACTCAGCAGAGTACAGGAGTGAATTAAAAACACTTAGGAAAGTTTAGACAAAAATAGGCTAGGTAATATTGACTAAATTTAGGTTGGTTTCATTATCTATTTATTTATTTACTTAAACTTAACAAATGTTTGCAGATCAGACTTAGCCTACCCATAAGCAATGTCCAGACCTGAAATGCTGCATGCTCTCTCTGCTTGAGAGATGCAGTAACTCCAGTAGATTGTTTTGGTCTTTGTGGGTTTCATGAATGAGTTGTGACTGATAGCCCTCTAGGCTCAATGAGCAAGGAGTCCCACATCTGGATACATTTTATCTTAGGGAGAACCAACGTATTTACAAATAAACTAACACAAAACAAATGTCTACGGATGCTATGTCTCCCCTGCAAAGGGGGCATGTAAGATGGTCCGGATTTAAATCACAAGCACCTGTAAGCACACAATTTTCGAGTGCCCCCCAATCACTCCCACCCCTTCCAAACTAACAAAAACAAAATACCTTCAATGTATAAATTGTGTAAATATAGGATACAAATAGGATAAAAATGTTGTGTATGTATGTTTATGTCTGGTCTCTCAGTGTGTGTTTGTGTGTGTGTGCAGCAGTGTGTGTTTGTAGCAGCATGGGTAGCAGTATAGGTGGTAATGTGTATATAACAGTAAGTTATGCTATAAGTTTGTGTGTTGTTGTGTGTGTGTATGTGTGTGTGTTTGTGTGTGTGTACGTGCAGTGTAGGTAAAAATATTTTCTAGCAGTGGGGCAGGGCCATGCACAGATTACTCAATTTTGCCCGAAGGGGAGGTGCTATGCACAGATTACTGTGTTCAGTCTGAGCGGATAGGGCCATGCACAGATTGCTCAATTTTGCCCAAAGGGCAGGGGCCATGCACAGATTAAGGTGTTCAGGCTGAGCGAATAGGACCATGCACAGATCGCTGTGTTCAGGCTTAGCGAATAGGGCCATGCACAGATCGCTGTGTACAGGCTGAGCGAATAGGGCCATTCACAGATCGCTGTGTTCAGGCTGAGCGAATAGGGCCATGCTCAGATCGCTGTGTTCAGTCTGAGCGGATAGGGCCATGCACAGATTGCTGTGTTCAGGCTGAGCGAATAGGGCCATTCACAGATCGATGTGTTCAGGCTGAGCGAATAGGGCCATGCACAGATCGATGTGTTCAGGCTGAACGAATAGGGCCATGCACAGATCGCTGTGTTCAGGCTGAACGAATAGGGCCATGCTCAGATCGCTGTGTTCAGGCTGAGAGAGCGGGGCCATGCACAGATCGCTGTGTTCAGGCTGAGCGAATAGGACCATGCACAGATCGATGTGTTCAGGCTGAACGAATAGGGCCATGCACAGATCGATGTGTTCAGGCTGAGCGAATAGGGCCATGCACAGATCGCTGTGTTCAGGCTGAGCGAATAGGGCCATGCTCAGATCGCTGTGTTCAGGCTGAGAGCGGGGCCATGCATAGCTCACTGTATTCAGTCTGGTGGGGTGGGGGGCAATGTACATAGCACTGTGTTCAATCTAAGGAGCAGGGCCATGCACAGATCACTGTGTTCAATCTGAGGGAAGAGGGCATGCACAGATCTCTGTGTTCAATTTGAGGGGGCAGGGCCGTGCACAGATCACTGTGTTCAATCTGAGGGGAGAGGGCATGCACAGATCTCTGTGTTCAATTTGAGGGGGCAGGGCCGTGCACAGATCACTGTGTTCAATCTGAGGGGGTGGGGAAATGTACAGATCACTGTGTTCAATCTGAGGACTTCTTTAGACTGAACACAGCAATCTTAGAGTCCTACAGCCTCTGTTCCGGTTATCAAACACCAGGCAGGCCGTAGGAAGGGAGCTTTGAGTCTACTCTGCTTAATCTTCTTTTGCATTGGCAATATAAACTCCTCTTGTGGTATCAGTCTGATATGCAATTAGTGAGTTAAAAATTATATTTGTTATTTTGTTAGGAATTAGGAACCAAAGTGTAAGCCACTGTTGGGAGTATTTGCTAAAGTCTAAATGGTCCTGTACCGAATGGGGCAAAAACATACAAGGTAATTTGGACTGTCAATATATACATTGTTAGTATTTAACAATGTCCATGTTTTTTTTTCTGTTTTCAATTTTCCCATAAAACTTGTATATAATTCAAGATATATTTCTATATAAGTAAAAACCTACACACATGTACCTTCATAATATATTTACATAATAGTGATGGCTAACCTTGTCCCTGCAGATGCTTCTGAACAATGAATAAAATAAAATGTCCCTAACCTTTAATCGGAACACTTCTCATATCATTTATATTGAATGCATAGATAGACAAGCACTTTAGGAATAAATATACATTTTTTGTGTAGATTTCTGTGTAGGGATGAATAAAAATAATAACATTTTATATAAAATGACAGTTTTAATTGCAATGCTAGAATTCGGCCTTGAAGTTTAACCTAAACTGTTTTTGCAGTGTGAGAGGAAGGACACGATGCCCAGCAGGAGAGAACTAGCTGTGTTTGAATTAGGGACAACTACAAAGTGTATGGTTTGAGACCATGCCAGAATATTGCCCCACTACGCTCGTCTTTTTTTCTTACTGTTACTAGAACGTGAATAGAATAACAATTTAATAAAGCCGTTACATAACTTGTTTTAGCATCAATTTGTGAGGAGCAGCTTATAATTCTCACTACAGCAGTGGCCCAGGGCACTACTGCCGCCCCGTCCCCCCATCAGCCCACACTTGAAGCCTACTCCCTCTGCATAGTTGCAGAGGGATTGAATTGGGCAGTGGAAGAGAAAACAGACTCACTGCAGTCTAAAAGCAAACACATGAATCACTGGAGAAAGTAAGGTTGAGCTTCATGTGCTAAATTCTGGTTTGCAAATGATATTGATGTAGGGATCAAAGGGGTTAAGTATCGCTGCTGTAATTCTAGGCTGCGAGAGATATGGAGAATGTATGAAGGTAATTAGGCCAATAGATGTGACGAGTTCCCCAAGTTCTCTATGTTCCCCAAAGGGAACGCTGCATTTAATTTGATAGATCCAGCTGTTCCCCAAGGAAGTCATTTTATGCAAAACAACCCTGCTAGAGCAAGTCCTAAGAAACCACTGAGCAGCTTTCTTATATGTTTTCTATATCTGTTTTATCTTATGTATCATTTATTCATTTCCCCGTACACTGCTACTTGCATTAACATTTAACATTACACATTGTAACTACAATGGGATTCTACCTGTAGGCTGAGATTTTTTTTTAATTTGGATTTTTAATTTGCATTAACACAGACATACAAAACATGGGAAGCAATAACATCTTATAATATATAAATGGAGAAACACAAAACTCATGGTACAGAAGAGCACCCTTCAATAGAGTACAAAAAAAGTCTACCACGAGTGACATTTATTGATGACCGTTTGTAAAAGATGCATCCATATTTGTAAATTTATATTGAATCATGTAAAGGAACTTGCAGCTAATCTAACAGCCCTCTCCAGCTGGATTATATGATCATTATATGATCATCATTTGTCAGAAGAAGGCGGTAGGACTTTTACAAGATCTAAGGATTAATATGAGGGTGGCAATGATTGTAGAGGCTATAATTATAATTTAAAATTGGATTTTGTTCTGGATATATGTCAACCATTGCAATCACAAAATTAATTTAGTGGAGTGACTAGTATATATAGTGTACTTTTTGACCGAGGAATTGTGGGTCTCTCTGAATAAATGTAGAACTGTTCCTTATTTAAAAAAAAAAAAGTTTTTATTTATACATTTATAGTACATTCTTTGTTTTTAAACTCCATACATTCTTCTCTACAAAAATACAAATACAACCCCCCCATTTTATAATTGATACACACAAACACAAAAATATTCTAGAGCGTCACTAGTATTCATGCATGTACAAAGCCCATAGTTTGATCTTTGATGTTTTGGTAGGGGCGCTTTGGAGTTTCTTAATAAAATTATATCCCTCTCCCAATTTGGGAGGGTGTCTTTACTCCTGAATAATTGCAGTTGGGGAATGTTATATTTTTTTCTAAACACTATCCTTACAGATTAAGCATTGTAGATCTACACATATAATTTGTGTCTTTTGTTCACTAAGTTGTCTTCTGAAACAGTCCAAACCACCAAGATATATCAGCAGTACATCGGCATCAAAGGTACAGCATTATCCTTAACCATTAACTTGTTAGTATGGACCCTTGAAACAGAGGGAAGAATGCAGTTATATCAAAGATATTTAATCCCTCCTCTCAATAGCTGCTACATATCGTCATGATATAGGCCAGTGGTAGGCAACCTTCGGCACTCCAGATGTTTCGGACTACACCTACCATGATGCCTTGCCAGCACAAGGGCAGTAAAAGGATTAAAGGAGATGTAGTCCACAACAGAGCATTATAGGAGTTGTAGTTCACAACATCTAGAGTGCCGAAGGTTGTTTACCCCTGATCTAGGTAGTTTCGAATACCTTTTCTAATAAACCATTAGCGGGTTATGGGAGTGATAATAACAGGTTACCACAGTGCACGTGCATTGCTAAAAATAGTCCCTTTCTTTATAAAACATGAATGGAAATGTCAGGTAATGGATGCAACATTGTGGCATTTCCTTCATTCATGTTTTATTTGATTTATATGACTACTGGTGAGCTACATTTTATTATTACTTTATTATTTATATAGCGCCAGCAAATTCCATAGCGCTGTACAATGGGTGGACTAACAGATACGTAATTGTAACCAGAGAAATGGACACACAGGAACAGAGGGAATGAGGACCCTGCTTAATGAGCTTACATGCTAGAGGGAGTGGGGTATAGTGACATAGTAACAGAGGGATTGAGGGCCCTGCTCAGTGAGCTTACATGCTAGAGGGAGTGGGGTATAGTGACAGTAACAGAGGGATTGAGGGCCCTGCTCAGTGAGCTTACATGCTAGAGGGAGTGGGGTATAGTGACAGTAACAGAGGGATTGAGGGCCTGCTCAGTGAGCTTACATGCTAGAGGGATTAGTATAGTGACAGAGTAACAGAGGGATTGAGGGCCTGCTCAGTGAGTTTACATGTTAGAGGGAGTGGGGTATAGTGACACAGTAACAGAGGGATTCAGGCCCTGCTCAGTGAGCTTACATGTTAGAGGGAGTGGGGTATAGTGACACAGTAACAGAGGGATTGAGGGCCTGCTCAGTGAGGTTACATGTTAGAGGGAGTGGGGTATAGTGACACAGTAACAGAGGGATTGAGGGCCTGCTCAGTGAGTTTACATGTTAGAGGGAGTGGGGTATAGTGACACAGTAACAGAGGGATTGAGGCCCTGCTCAGTGAGCCTACATGTTTGAGGGAGTGGGGTATAGTGACACAGTAACAGAGGGATTAAGGGCCTGCTCAGTGAGCTTACATGCTAGAGGGAGTGGGGTATAGTGACACAGTAACAGAGGGATTGAGGGACCTGCTCAGTGAGTTTACATGCTAGAAGGAGTGGGGTATAGTGACACAGTAACAGAGGGATTGAGGGACCTGCTCAGTGAGTTTACATGCTAGAGGGAGTGGGGTATAGTGACACAGTAACAGAGGGATTGAGGGATCTGCTCAGTGAGTTTACATGCTAGAGGGGGTGGGGTATAGTGACACAGTAACAGAGGGATTGAGGGCCTGCTCAGTGAGTTTACATGCTAGAGGGAGTGGAGGTATAGTGACACAGTAACAGAGGGATTGAGGGCCTGCTCAGTGAGGTTAAATGTTAGAGGGAGTGGGGTATAGTGACACAGTAACAGAGGGATTGAGGGCCCTGCTCAGTGAGTTTACATGTTAGAGGGAGTGGGGTATAGTGACACAGTAACAGAGGGATTGAGGGCCTGCTCAGTGAGTTTACATGCTAGAGGGAGTGGGGTATAGTGACACAGTAACAGAGGGATTGAAGGCCCTGCTCAGTGAGTTTACATGTTAGTGGGAGTGGGGTATAGTGACACAATAACAGAGGGATTGAGGGATCTGCTCAGTGAGCTTCTATGCTAGAGGGAGTGGGGTATAGTGACACAGTAACAGAGGGATTGAGGGCCTGCTCAGTGAGTTTACATGCTAGAGGGAGTGGAGGTATAGTGACACAGTAAAAGAGGGATTGAGGGCCCTGCTCAGTGAGGTTACATGTTAGAGGGAGTGGGGTATAGTGACACAGTAACAGAGGGATTGGGGCGTGCTCAGTGAGTTTACATGTTAGAGGGAGTGGGGTATAGTGACAGTAACAGAGGGATTGAGGGCCTGCTCAATGAGCTTACATGCTAGAGGGAGTGGGGTATAGTGACACAGTAACAGAGGGATTGAGGGCCCTGCTCAGTGAGCTTACATGTTAGACATGTTAGAGGGAGTTAGGGGTGATAGTACCCAGTAACAGAGGGATTGAGGGCCCTGCTCAGTGAGTTTACATGTTAGTGGGAGTGGGGTATAGTGACACAATAACAGAGGGATTGAGGGCCCTGCTCAGTGAGTTTACATGTTA